TAGCGGTCATTATCTCTGCGTTATGTGTGTGTCTCCCATGTCTTAGAAACTCTTGAGGTGTGACTTATGGACACTTGTAATGCCAGTAATTATCTCATTGTTTACATTATAGCTATGAATGGGAGTCACTGTTTGACTGATCCCATGGCTTATCGCTGCGTAAGAGTTATCTGAAAGTTATCTCGAAATTTGAATTTTTCCAGTAATTGGTGTCAAAGTCGAGCGATAGATATCTCTGACAATGTCTTTGACTGTTGCCACCAATTGATCCCCAAATATGATAATCAAGTGATAGGAGTCTTAAGAAAGTTTAGTGAAGCGATTGGAAGTGATGGCGAAGTGATTATCAATTAGTGTTGAGATCTGTTTGAGACACACACACAGACCTCGAGGAATAGGTATACGCTGTGAATGCGAGTGAAATGCCTGTGAAAAGGCTAATCGATTGAGTGATATATAGCTATGACTTGTGCTTAGAGTTAATGAGTGGTGAGAATGAGAGAGAGAGAGAGAGAGAGAGAGAGAGAGTCAGAGTCAGTGATAATTGAATGGCAAAGAGTAGGCATTGAAAGCTGATCGGTGGTAGTGATAGTGATGTCTGTGTTAGCAGTAGCTGTATGTGTGTGTATCGGTGGTTGTATAATAGCGACGGCACTGGTAGGTGTATCCATAGGCAACCCATAGTCACACACACAACCAGTACATAGCAATAGTGAATGGCAATGGCATAGTGAATGTGTTAGCGATTGGTTTTAGGGCACAATTGTCTTATAATATGATGTGTTTATTATTGTTTGAAAAGTTTTTTGATGTGAACTCTCTGTTACCACTCGAGACCACTGTTGCCATTTGCGACCCAACACACACAGTCACCACAAATGCAATGACAATATTATGCTAAGACTACTGATGGGCACACATATACACACAGATACTGTACACACTCTCGCATACCGTTCCCATTAAGGCCACACAGCCGTATGTACCCGTATATACACACTATGGCAAAGTCCTAGTGATTCTCAGTGTTGTTAGCGATGATCTGTTTTTGTTACCATTTGTTACCAATAGTTATGTGTTTAAGACGTTATCGACACAAAAATTAGTTTAGAAAACAAAACTTAAGCAAAACTTTTTTTTATCTAATATTGTTTTTTATCGGAGCTCCTGTTCCGCTAACTTTTTTTGTGTGTATACATCTCTAACTAATCTCTTACACCCCGTTCCCCTCTGAAACGGACGGACGTTATATATACATATAGTTGTATGAAAGCGATGGACGTATCGGTGGACAGCGGGGGCGGCGGTGATGACGACCACGAGTTGGGCGACCACTCGAGCGGCGAGGACTCGGCTACCGGTGCCGACGTCGCCGCCACGGAGCCCGACAACGACCTGACGAACCTGACGTGGCTTCAGGACAGGAATCTCTTGCAGAACATGCAGGTGTGCGGCGCCCCTCACGAGACCACACGACTCCCGGGGCTCGACGACGTGGAGGACAACGAGAACGTGTCGCCCCCGCCGCCCGCCGACCCCTTACAGGCCGGGGACGGCGCGACGGCTAATAGTAAGGGTATGACGAGCGTACCGCCGGTGACGTACAACCCGCACCTGCACCGCAACGCCAAACCTCCCTATTCGTTCAGTTCGCTCATATTCATGGCCATCGAGTCCTCGCCTAATAAAGCCCTTCCCGTCAAAGACATCTACCAGTGGATTGTCGAGCACTACCCCTATTACCAGACGGCGCCCTCAGGTATGCCCCACTATATTACGAGTGGTTGTGATTTGTGGCGAAAGTTTTGTTTGATTTGTGTTTTAATTTGTTTTTTGGTTTTTGGTTTTTATTAGTTTTTGTTTTTTTCTGTTTTTTGTTTGCATTTATGAAACTTTTTTTTGTTTGTGACTAATGTTTGTGTTTTATGTACTTTTATCTACCGGTGCCGTTAGGCTGGAAAAACACCGTAAGACACAACCTGAGTCTCAATAAGTGTTTCCGCAAACTGGACAAAGCGAACGACGATTTACTACCGGTGCGTATGGGAGCCCAGGGATGGCATACACACAGACAGTTATTTGTAGGGTTTAGGCATTGCGTTGGCAATTGATTAGCGCTTTTTTCCCGGTTGCTATGCCTGCGCTTTTTGACTACCGTTTTCGGCTCAATCACTACATGAGGTCTCCATAGAAACACCGTATATATAAGCACCAGGTCTTAGGCTACCAGTGCTCTGTGCGAGAGAGAGCTGTCAGTGCGAGAATATATTCGCTAATATTCTCACGCATTATATATTAAATCACTTTTTGTTTTCTTATATTTTCTTTAGTTATATATAATATTGACGTTAAGTTTCTATGCGATCGACGCCACGCATGCCATTCCCCTCTCTAATCACAGTGAATGGCATGCCTTTCGTGACAATTTAGTCTCGCATTTCGCGTCCCATTCCCTTCTCTCGCACATCCCGATCCCCTCCAATCGCTCAGTTACTGTCACTCCGTATATGCCATCACTTGTCTAACGATGTATTACATTAACAGTTAACACGAGTTGACTGTTTCGATGCATTTCGTAATGTTATGCTAATTGAAAATTATGTGTGCAATAGATTGCGGGCAAAGGGAGCCTCTGGTGCGTGGATCCCGACCTCCGGCCCAACCTATTGCAAGCCGTACGTCGCACGCCGGCCCACATCTACCCTTACATGTCGTTAGCCAAGACTAATGCGGTCGTATCGCCGCCCAGAATACAACTGTCCAGTCATAGCAATAACTCTTCGCAACCGTAAGTGTTTTGATTGCGAAAACTAATTGTGTTTTTTGTGTGAAAAACGTTTTTTCTGGTTTAATTGATGAATGGTTTGTGATTTTGTTTGTTTTGTGTCCATCAGTAGCGTTAAGAAAGCGTTATCCGCGGAACGCGTCCAATCGGTGGTCAATATTCCATCGCCTAATTTGTTCCCATTTTTGTCCAGAAGACTGTTGATCCCCATCACGAAGATTATCAAAAAAGGTATCAACGGATTGGGATTTTTGTGTTGTTCTCATTGCCTGTTGGCTCTAATGGTCGGTGTTTTGAATGTTTACAGAGAAGGAGACGGACGCCGCGGTCTCGATGCTGACCCTCCAGTCCAACGTCAACAACACCGGCAATACCGGCGCCGCCGTTCGCGATAAGTACGGGAACCGGCGTTTTG